GGTGACCATTCAGTACTGGCTGCTCTGTTTTCCTTGGTGCAATCTATAACAATGGAGGGACACTTCAAGTTCACTTGAAGGGACACTTCAAGCCAAATGGCGAGCTCACTAGAAGAACGTAACAATATAGCTGATAGAGGTAAGAAAGTTCGTTGTATAGAGTAGATTATGGCATCATTCTCGGCATAGAATTGCATCGAAAACTAACTCAGATACAAGCTATCGAAAGGCAACGCCTGTGGTTGAACGCCATAGTTCTCCAAATCGGTTGAATTCTAAAGCTAAAAACTCTCAACGCGATTCAAGTAGATTGCAAAGAAACTCGCTGAAATTTTTGGTTAGCTGTATCGAGTAACTATGTCCTGGTGAATATCAAAGGAGAGAGATGAAACGTATGTAAGACTGCAGTGTGCTTGAGGCCGTTTGTATTCCATGATAAAGATATTTGCATTACGAGCAATATTTGTTGTGGACTTCTTTGCAATTTATTTTAAGTTCGATTAGATTTAGATTATAAGAAGTTCAGTTAAAATTAAGAGTTCAGTGTTTGCCGTTACCGTAAACGAAAAGCTTAAACTCTCCCTTCAAAGTTGTATAATTTTTGTGATATTATCTGTGCTACATTTTTCCGGCCTCATTACGTGTGCTCCGCGAAACACGGTTGAACTTCGACGTACGCTCAATATCGTCAAGGTTGTGGATAATTGAAGAGGCTTTCCTGGAATATCATGTTATTGAAAAGTGTTTTCTGCGTTGAGAAATGGTCGATATCCGCATGAATTCCGCGGATATCACGAAGAATTCACTTTGTCATTTGGCAGATCACAGCAACGGCAGATTTGTCTGAATCGGTGTTCTTAACAACATCGTGTTCCCATCGGAATAAAAGTTTTAAAAATGTTGACGCTTTGTCGGTGATTAGTTTCAGTCTGCAAATATCACAACTTAAGAGTACTAGCAAGAAAATTCTTGCCTTAATACTTTGCGAGTTTTATCCAAAAGCGCGCATTTCCCAATCTAAATTGCCAACTCATTTAACAAACAGAGAAGCCCAGGCCGTGCTCTGGTCTGTTGAAAAGCACGTCGGAAGCAGCTAGAGCACGAAAGAAGAGTAGGGAGAAAATGACATGTATTTTAATAAAATCAAATATGGTGCTTGGCATGTTTACAAACCTTTTTTTGTTCTTCTTTTGCTACTCACCGACTCGCTTGTTCCAAAATTTAACTTTTGATTAACTAAAAAAACTAGAGTGAACAACTAAGAGCTTGCTCTGATATCCTTTCTAATGCATCAAGTGGAAGGGCACATCAGTCGAGTTTTACAGCACTGATGTAAAGCACACAGGAAGCAACAGGGACATTTTGGAGCAGTGACATGAGTGGCAGAGATATGTGTACATTAACTTCATAGACTTGAGGCTGAAAGGTGTATGTCCTTATAGGAGACATGGTTTTGTGTTGTCAGGCAAGATATTTTTCTTTCAATAGTCCCTCTCTTCACTCAGGAGGTCAACCTCTTAACCCTGTGACCTCTAAGAGAGATGAGTGACCTCTCAGGGAGAAGAGTGTCTTATTACTCCTAACAATGTGATGTGTATGTATACTGTAAGTTTCCGTGTAGATTAATTACTCTTTTTAATTTTCTACAGTTTGGTTTGGAAAGTGACTAGTAGTTGTGACAAATGGAAAATTTACAATCTGTTGCACACACATGCAGCATTCAGTGCAAGCTTTATCCCTGTAACTCCCATGAGTGACCAAGACAGAATTTCTCCTTATAGCATCAATACATTATCAACCAGATAAGATATGAGAATAAAGAGAAATATCAATTTGGGTATAATTAGGTGATCCAATACTAAATTCTCTGAACTAACATTGAATTGTGCAGTTGAGAGTAGGTAGAATTACAAATTTTATCTGGGAGTCAACCCTTTAACTCCCAAGATCTGATTGTTAATTCTCCCCTCTAGCTGCTACATGTTTCCTTGTGAATTGGTTATAAGAATTTGACGAGTTTGAGTATTCTCACTACCTCTGCTGGATAATGCTTGGATATGATAGGGAGAAGTGATGTGTTAATCAGTTCTGGGAGTTAAAGGGTTAAAAGCAACCATCTTAGTTGTGTATGAATATGTATATCATTTTTTGGCTGACCAGGTAAAACTTAAACATTAAAGTTTCTAAGTAGATAATTGTTTATGAAAGGAGGTTTTTTTTTTAGTAATCTTAAAAGCTAGGTAGGTATTTATCCATGCATATCACAGTACATAATTTTGTTGCTGACATGTGGTTGATTATTTACCTTTCAATGAAATTTAAACTGTAAAGTAACAACTTTTTGCTGTTTTGTTTAAGATCTCCAGAAGGCTGATCATGACCATCATTATATAGGATGCTGGAATTTGGGGTCAAGTTGGTTGTTACAAAGTAAGTGGAATTTTCCTAAGTTTAAAGAACATGCCCCGATTATTTGAAGAGTGGATAATGTTAATCTGCTAGATGACAGTTTATTCATTGGTTAATGTTATCTGCTGTTTGTACAATTGGGTCCAGCATTATAACCAACATATCATGGCCATTGTGTATGGAAATGTGAGTGTCATTTTGCTGGAATACTGGCTAAGGGTTTAGCTGCATTAAGGAAAATCTGTTTGTATTTGTCAGAAAAAAACAGACAGTCAAAGAATGCATATGGCGTCTGGTATAGCACAATTTTTCAAGTATTGAAAAGAAATAGATGTTGCATGGTGATGCTAGAATGTAGTGTTGCAAAATATTTGTCTCGCTTTCCCATAAGAAAAAGATAAGAAAAAGATGATTCAAGAATATATCCTCGAATTGACATCTGACCAATAATTGAATGGTGACAAAACAATAATGACAACAATAGTAGTTTAATAATAATTTAAAGGTGCTAGCTTTAAGTCTCATGGTTCCCCAATCCTCTGGGCTCCAACATTGATTACCTATGCTTCTTTTAATTTGGCCCATCAATTATAAATAATTTCCCCAATATCTTATTGCATTTCCATTTGTGGAGACTTTTGTTTCATATAAAAAGGCACTACATGTTGTAGGATATTCCATCATTCGGTGTCTCATGATTCTATTGCTTATTTATGCACAAGGCTTTTTTATTGACTTAAGTGTCTACTGCATGAGAAAGCAGGAGACAAAACACAACATTTAGGGGACTTTTAATTGATGCAAAAACAAATTCTCCAAAAAGACATCAGGAAATTGTACAACAGACAGTAAGGAGATTTACTAATGAGATCTTAGAGGCAGAAAGGTTAATCTCTTTTAAGTCTTAAGTGATCCTTAAAATGTGGCGTTTGTGTGCACTGCAGAGGTAAAAAAAGGTTTTTGCGCATGCTTATTGGCTGGTTCAAAAGTGTTTAGCAAGAACTATTCACTTCCTAGAAGGGAGGAGACAGAAACAAAATTAAGGGTCGAGAGTTTAAATCATCTTTCAGGATATTGATAGAAATAAACTAATATTTTGGTTTCTGTTTGGTAGATACTTGTAATAAGACAATTATTTACCATAGTGTCATGGAAAGTGGTGTATACTTACCTCACCACTTTGTGGCTCTGAAAAAATTTCTACCACTATTCACCTCCACTTGGGGAATTATTGTTAATAATGTATCCCTATGGGTAAATTATTAACAGTAATTGTCATGAAATTTATCCTTATGGATACATCTCATCTATGTATCCATAGGGAACACATTCAAAACTGCTGATCCAAACAGCATGCAGAGTGCCCATCAAATAGTTGCCTATTGTTGGCAAATTCTTTGAAACTCAGTCTGCAATTTCATGTTGAAATCTGTGGCTCATATCCTCTAGGGGTACTCAAAGTTTTTTCTTGGCCCCATTTGTGTGACAGGATGCATAACTTTGCATTCTACACTTTACAAGAACAGCAGCAATTACCATTTATTTAGTTATTAACAAGAATGTGCAAACCAGACACTTACCCAACAGGGCTGTATCACCCATCAGTACATTGCATCACAATCCCTCCCCTCTCTGAGAATTGGTAGAAATATACCAGCTGCTGCTGGTTCATGGTACCCTGGAGGGGAAAGAGGCAGACAAGCAATATCAAATGTAGAGGTAATGCCTGACTGTTATGAATATTTCCAAGGTTCAATTGTTTTTCAGTTAAAAATTACAGGCGACCTGTTGTTTGTCAGTTATCCCAAAACACAACAAGAGGTAGGAAAACCATGGACTAAGCATGGCTTTCTAAACCTGGGATGGTGTTCAGTAAATCCATTTCCACTGCCAAGGTTGTTTTGTTTTTTTGTATTGGTTGGTGGCATAATTCACAAGTAAAGCTACAGAATTTAAGTATTTGATGAACAAATTTCTTACTTCGAGGCTTTGAATAACACCAGGTTCCCGAGGTTCCTGTCTTTGAGGATATAATTTCAAATCAGCAATGTAAGTACACAAAATTTGTAGTATTCTAAAGAATTTTAGTATTACCAAGTCTTGTTTCTCCTATAACTCTATATCTCTTCTTAGTATATACTAAAACAGTGGATAACATTGAAGGTATGCTCTGATTGGCCACTCAAACCCTAAATATCCTTTGCTATTCACCTCTGAGCAATGCAAGAAGGATTGCACTTGAAAATTTTGTTTATGTTGCAGGAATAAATGAGTTAAAGTCATCTTTTTGTATTATATTATCTCACTGTTTTAGTTATGCTAAAACAATTATTCACCATAGTGTTGATGACTTCTCGTGGATATTTATCTCGCCACTTCACGGCTCAGTAAGTATCCACTTCTAGCCACCTCCACTTTGGTGAATAGTTGTTAACTATCAACTTGGTACAATCAGTTGGATAACTTGTTCCTAAAGCTAAGAATATACTTGAAAATATTGTTCAAAATTTAGGACAAATTGCCCTTATGACTGTGTGTAGGCAATGCACCATAACCTATGAAATGTGGTATTTGACCTTTTCACTCCCAATGCCTTATAAGTAATTATCTCTACTGTCTTACAATTCTCATGTTATAACTTGGAAAATTTGGTATTGTATCAAATAATAATCCCCTAATTGATATTTTTCTCAGTTGTCTTCACTTGTCTGCTTGATGTTGTATTGATATTGTAAGGAGAATTTCTGTCTTGGTCACTCATGGGAGCTAAGGTTAAAACAATGGCCTTGAATTTTATGAAAAACCTGGTTACACTACTACCAAGAAGCGTGAGAGAGCCCTCTGGGTTCAATTTCTTGGAAGAAAGTGACATGAATGCATGTTAATACAACAATGTAGCTTTTTCTTAAGAAATTTAAACAAAAACCACATAGATACAGTATTTGTTTATATCCTTTTTGAGAAATAAATTAAAGACTCAGAATATAAAGGGAACTTACTGTTGAGGTTCCTGGTGCTGCAACAATAATAAGTTAAGGTAAAATACATACATTTTTTTTGTTTTAAAACTTTGTCATATGGTTCATCAGTGTATAATATTATTTGTGATGCACTAAGCTTTGCAAATTTAATACTGTTCACTACTGAGGGGGAACTCTCTTGGTGACGACTACCTAATGTGTACATTACAGGCTAGTAAGGAGTCCTGTCACCCAATTGGGGTTCGTAATGAGATTGGATCATAAGAATTGCTTCCTCAAAAGTTAAAATCCTGAAGGCCAAATCTGTTTATGATCATCTGCAACACAAGAGGTGATTGACAAGAAATTCTTCAACTGCTGTTTGGTTATTTATGAGAAAAAAGCCAAATTGTTGTGTAGCAGCTGTGTGCCCACCCTTGGGAAGTGAATATTTGCAAACATCAATTGTTTGCCAGTTGAGAAATAAGCCAACCTGCCATTTGTTATATACCCCATAACATAACAAGAGGTGGGGAAACTCTGGACTAAGCATAGTTATTTGACCTCTGGGATGGCTTCAATAACACAAGTGATACCCTTAATGATATTGATATGGGGATAGGTATACTTCATTTTCTTAACTCACTTTGCATAATTATTTACGCTCTGATATATCAATTATTTGAATCACACATGTATGGTTGCCTTTTCCATGCTACCCATGGGTACCCAATTGATATCTATTCAGTTGCCTGTCCTCTCATTTTATGGGTACATATAGCTGTGGGAATTTTGGTTGCACTAAATCCATTCCCACTGCCTGAGTTTGGGTTAGTGACATAATTTTTCAAATATAGCTGTAAAATAAAAGGATTTGATGTACAAATTTCTTACCTCTAGGCTGGGAGGGACACCCTGTTGCCTGTGAGGAAACAATTCCAAAAAAGCAAAGTAAGTACACAATTTTTGTAATATTTTAAAGAGAATTTTAGATATACCATGTTTTGTCCACATACAAATGTACATCTTTTTCTGTCAATTTGGTACAGCTAATTGAATAACTGGTTCCTTAAGTGAGTTATGTACTTGTGCATATTGGTAAACTTTTGAAAGAAATTGCCCTTATGACTCTGTGTAAGCAATGCACCATGACCTATAAACATGGAATTAAGATAATGCTGTGACCTTCACAAAAAAACCTGGTTTAACTTCTCTGTGAAGTAACAGGTACCCTAACAGTTTACAGTAGCCATATGTGTTGAGTTGTGGTACATACATGTACATGTCCTCCTTAAATACATGAATATAGGTAGATTTATACTGTACTCCTTTGCCTGTGGTACAAAGCTCAGTAGGGTTTTGGTACATAATTTCTACATGCTCAAACAATTTTCAACAGTGGGATGACAAAAGAGCTGGCCCAAGAGATATGAAGGTGCCCTTTGTATGATTAATGCTCAGAGATGGAGAAAATTTATGTGAGGGCACATTGTACTGGCCAAGGATGCATGATGGTGCTTATAAAGTGATACAAATGCATGTTAACAAAATTATGACTTTTACTTTCAAAATTTGAACATGATCACACTGTATAGAAACAGTATCTGCGTATACACTTCTTAAGAAATTTATTTTACTTTCAAAGACTCATAGGATGAAAGAAACTTACGCCATTTGCTGGTTTTGCTAGTTTTGCTGCAATGATAAACAATTATGGAAAATGCATTAATGATCTTCTTTTAAAACTTCGCAATATGATGTATAAGTAGGTAGCAATTATCGATGCTTTTAGCTTTGTCAATTTGGTACACATGGGTACAGTTTTCTTGTTAATTTTTACAGTCAGTCGTGCAGAGTTGTGTTTACTTTACTTCTTACTGATCGTGTATTCGATTGAGGACTTACTGAATTGAACATTATGTTTGAGTTTACAATGCGCCGTATTTCCCCTGTTTTTTTTGTTGATGTACAAAATGTACAACAACTTAATTGTAGGTTTCAGTTGAGAAAATTTACAGTATATTAGCCCTCTATTATATTCTCTCTCTCTGTGATCGATCGATCGATCGATCTATCGATCGCCATTTTGGTGGAGGTTTGACAAGGCAGTTTTGATTTTCATATCATAATTTCTTTTTTTTTTAAGACTAACCTGGAAAAAGCTATCACCTGTTCAATACTTACGTCGTGTTGTTGTTGTGCCTGATTCACGGTACTCTGTGAATCTAGAGAAAGGTTTCATAGTTCCTTTGCAATAATACCGTATTTAATGAATTAAACGCCGCCGTATAAACGCCGCTCTCGAGAAAACGCCGCAATCGAATAAACGCCGCAATTGAATCACAAAAAATTTAATAAACGCCGTTGCGTTTAATCCAATAAATACGGTTATTTTGCGTTTGCATTTAATATTGCTTACCTACATCTTACCTTTTTGTTCACTTGGCAAAAAAGATTTGTTATTAGCTTATTACCTTATTAGCACACTTGCCGTGGATCCTAGCGTAAGAGCGCCGGAAAAGATTGATGGGAATTTTAGTCAGCTGTTAAATTGGCGGGAATCGACTGACTCTGGGAGACTGGATCCTAGTCGACCACGACGCTTTTGTTTATGGGTACATACGGGCAACTATGAAAATATTTCTGTATTTCACCCACAGCTAGCTTACTTTGCAGGTGTCAACTAGCCTGCAAGGCAGTCGTCTTTTTAGGGCGAGGTAACGTTAAGAAGCCCGCGATCGTTCTTTAGGCCGTCAAAATACAGTGATATTTATGGCTCGCCTATAGTAGATCGAAACAAGAACGGGGAAGCGATTGCATCGAGCCATATGAAACGTGGTATCATTTTGTTGAGCCATATAAAATATGTGGTATTATTTTGATGGTCATTTTCAAGTGTGCGCATTGTGAAGACATCTCGTAGGAAGGTTTGTTCGGGGTTTCACAGCTAGTTGTGTGTTATACATGTTCTTGTGGCTATGCTGACTCAGGAGATAAAAGCACAGGCTATGAGGTACTTACGTGAAATGTCGTGGAAGCTTAGCTGTGCGTGTAGCCATTTTTCAATGGCTTTACTTGTAGTGGCCATTGTTGGAGGATATCCCAGAGCGATTGACTAGGAGGTCTTTATTGTCGTCTCTGTGAACCTGCTCTTGAGATTTATTGGTATGGGAAGCGCAATTAACGGAATGGTTGAATGTAGCCCATAGCTCAGAGTGAACTTCCAAGGTTCCTTGCTTAAACTTTTATTTGCCTTTTGATAGCAATATATTCCACCAGTTTAACGGCCTCGCCAAAGAAACGGGCATGTTTCTTCATTCATTTCCGCACACCTTATACTAGAATAACTTGAATGTCGTCTACTTCTCAGTGACTCATTAGGTCAGTTACTATTCTCGCATAATGCTATTGTGTTTGAGACTTAAATAGAAGCGGCAAATGAAAAATTATAGTTCCTTTTTTCGTCAGTGTTGTCCAATTATTACACCTTGAAGTTGATTCGGAGTTAACATGAATTGTAAAGTGTTGTAAGTATCAACATTAAGCGAAAATATTATTTTTGGGTTATCAGGCGCTGTTGTTTTGTCACGCAACTCGTAACATTCTCTTCCCTTAGGAACGCGCTGCGTGACCAGATCTATCTACCCCCGACTGTTTGTAAATTTCCGTATTTGCACAGTTCAACCTCTTCAGAACGCTCAAAATTTTTTCGATTCCTTCCCTTTTGCGTGAACTACTAGTGATTTTGAGTGATTCTACTCAATATCTACGGCCTCAATATGTAAATTAAGGATGTTAATGATTAAAAAAGAATATTCTACATAATTGACAACAATTTGATGAAGACACCAAAAATATAACAGTGTCCTTAAGAGTTTTATCAGTAGGGAAATTACTAAATATTCCTTGAGGTTTGAAGTGAGATGTATGCGAACTACACTGCATAAATATTGAAGGGAAGTTCCTGTCTTTGTCACCAACCTTACAAAGTTATTAAAATGTGCTTGGATACTTGTACAATTGAAGTTTGCAAACTACACTGCATGAATATTGACATCTTCACTATCAAAATTCCACTCGTAACTTTTTTTATTCATTCTCAAGGGAAGTTCCTGTCTTTATCACCAACCTTACAAAGTTATTAAAATGTACCTGGATACTTGTACAATTGAAGTTAAAGTGTGAGAAACTCATGAATGGCAAGTTATTGCTGGTTGAGTTTCTTAATCATTGAATTGTGGGCAACCTTGTGCCATAGGGAAACTAAAATGTGGTGTGAACAAGAAAACATATTACACCCAAGTCACCATGATTTCATAAGTTCATTTATTATCTTTGACCATGAAGTTAAACTTTTCCCTGTGTTTATTGACTCTACTGAAATGTTTTAAAAGTTATTCACATTTTGTTTGATTATAGAAGATACTATCTTGGTGTTGCCTTTTAAAACACAAATTAACCACTTTTTCAACAAGCTACAACTCGTCTCTGATGAAGTAGAATGTGAACTATAAAAAAGGACTATCAATATACTAAATAGACAACAGACTTCTAATAATAGTAACATCATTTACAATTCCAACATTAATTTTTTTTTTTAATTTTTAATCTCATTAGTATTACACTTCTCTCAAAACTGATAACTACATTACCTACTAAAAACTAATGGAATTGAAAGACACCATTATTACTACAAGCAGTCAATAGGCATGGACTTAATAGATTTTCTAGGGTCAAACCTACTAAATTGCCTCCAAAAGGTTGACAAAAAAGCAAAAACTCGTGACTGAAATAAGTACAACAAGGGTTTTTGACATAATTTTTTTTTAAAGTAAAACGAGGAAAAAAATGGCTGTATCAAAGTTAATTGTAAGGGAGTTACTTTACACCTGGAGGTTGAATCTCAGAGGAAAAATCTTGAATTGTTTATTAATGCAACCATCCACAATTTTAATGAATATAACAAAGCTCAAATACCATGCGTTGAGTTGTGGTGCTCTTGAGCTCAAAGGCTCCTCCAGGGACTCTGGGAAACAAAAAAAAAAGGGTAAAAGTACAGATGTGTTTAGTTATTTAAGTGCCTTGGGCTCAGCTTGTATTTTATGTTACTTGAAGCAAGTCTTTCAGGAAGTGCTCTGTGAATTCGTGGAGGACTTACCTGCCTCGTTGAGATAAAAGCTTAGAATATTTTGCGAGACACTTTATTGAAATTAAAAGTTGACTTTATACATAGCTGTGACCATAGGCACTTTTGTCAAAATAGAGGTGAATTTCAGTAGAGGCAACTAAGTGAGCCTACTGAGTGTTAGGTCTTGAGGTGGGGTTTCTGTAATGGATGGGTATGTGCAGACATGTTTCTATAGCTAACTTAAACACAGAGAAAATATAATTAATTATAATAATTTTGTAATGTTGAATAGAGCTTTGGTATGTCACAGGGTGTTACCTCTGGTGTCTGTGAGTGGGATTGATATCCTGCAAGAAAAGAGGAAAATAGTTAAGCATTTTCTAAGTAACTAGGTGTACACTTGTATAGCATTCAGTTTATAATTTGTACATTTAAAGAATAATGTTAATCCTTGTTTTGAACTAGCTTTCAAGAAATGAATTTACCATAGAACCATTGAACGTTCTGAACTAAGTACTTTGTGGCTATCACCTTATGAAAATGACAGTCGGAGGTCTTTCTGGTTTGACAATTTGAGAAAGTTGGAGACTTTGGATTGTATTTAGTATCTTTAGTCTATTCATCTATTCTAGGTTTACCATGCTTATTATTATTTGAAATGTCTGAAATGAAAGACTCACCATTGGTTCTTCACCACCTGCCATAGTTGTGAGGAAAATCAACTGTTTGGATGAAAAAGTTGTCAGTTTTGTCAACTAGCATTGATTTTCTTACGATATCAGTTACTCTACTTTAAAAACTATTTTCCTATTGCCCTTGCAACAGGAAGCTATCTCTTAACCATAAAATTAATTTTCCCAATCTCACAAGTGTTTGTTTCTCTTTCACAGAGTATACTCAGCACCATAGAAATGTGTAGCTGAACAGTGCCAAAGATCACCTGACTGAATCTGATTTCACCCTCAGGTGAGTTCTCAGCTTATTTTTTTTATTGCTACCAGATAAGAACATGACAGGAACTTTGATTTCCTTGGAGCCATTTTCTTTCTTTTAATCATTTTTAAAATTTTTTTTTGTTTTACTGAGTTAGGAATTCTCTTTAGGACATAAACCTGTTATTCTGTCCCTTCGTCACCCTAGAGACATTTGTGACGGGTGACAAAAAGAAAGAAAAACATTAAATTCAGGTTTTTGTTTGATTTCACACTAAATTCTAAAAGCTTATATTACAAGACATGTAGGGCAGAAGGTAGGGAGAATTAAATTTAAGATCTTGGTGGTGCAAGTTTTAAAATAACTAATGAAAGAGGAACGAAAACCGTGTTTACATACGCTCATGTAAAATGGTTTTATGGCCAAACAGAGCGCGCGTACTGTTTGAATTATTTTATAACACTTAATCTTAAATCACATTTCGTAATTTTCTGTGAATAATCACCTACGCATATTTATTGAAACACTCATCAAAACAAGCCTATTGTCTTTGTTTTGTTCTTGACAGTCGCGTGCTATTTTTGTTTGAATTGTATTTCAAAACCAGCGAGGCGTTAAACTCCTATTTTATCAGCTGGAAACTGTTGAGGGCTAACTTAATCTGCATTTGTTTTGTTACAAAACAACTACACAGCGCTTCCCTGGTTTTCGTTTTCTTCGCTTGTTTTATTTCGGTCATATTAAGGAGTGGTACAGTTTTGGACAAATTGAGCGTGAAAAAAAAAATATTTTTCTTTTTAGAATTCAGGTCGTAATTTGAGAAACAATACGTGCTTGTTATTTCCGTAGCACGATTGAGTTGCTGACTCGGTTCGTTTTTTTTTTTAATCAAGACACTGTGTTTTTTACTGTGGGTGCTAGGCAGTCTCATGACTTCTGCTTTAATGGTTTCCTCTCTCAGGCTGTCGACTTGTTTTGATTACGACAAACGAGCGTGAGTAATTTACTTTTCACTCAGCCGACAGTGATACATTTTTGAAACGAGCAACCATGCGGACAAGATTGGTTTTATTTTGTTTTCCGGTCGCTGATGGGAAACAACGCGTGAGTGTGGCGCTCATAACAAGGCGTTTCTTGTAACGTTGGTTTACGGCATGTTTTTGTTATTATTCACTTTCACTGGAAGTCAAACTTAGGCACACGAATGAGCTATATATGCTGTTCAGTTTCAGTTGTAATCATCCCTGAAGAAGTCTCAGTTAGAGACGAAACGCGTCGGAAAAATAAACAAAAACTCACAACAGCAAGAAGTCTTTCTTTGTGCTACCCACTAGTCTCCGTTAAAAAAAGATCAAGAAAGGATATTAAATCTTGTACATTTCTGGACCGTGGAAGAAAAGCTTCGTTCACGAAACCAGATGTAGACATCCCTTAATACGCGACAACACTTTGCCCTTATGTCACGCTCACTCCAGAACCGATAGGCTTGAGGTCACAGCAATATTTTTTTACGGCTGTTTGGCATGTTCGTAAATTTTTAGTCTCTTCGCTGAATCTCGTTTTGAATACACCACGAACGACTCTTAGTAAAAGTAAAGCATTACACCAGTTACGCGTTTGTTTCAAAGTTCTGGAAATTTGAGTTGTACCACCCCCAAAAAAGGCAAACTGTGTTCCTCTCAGGTAATCACGCTAGATAAAATCGTCAATCGTGTGAAAATGCAGTCAAAACCGGTTACAGGCACTCAGTTTATAGAACAGCGGTCAAAATATTATATACGTCCCGATGGGGGTCTGGAACACAGCGAGGAGATCGATTGGTATCCGTCCGCCAATTTCCCGCGCAAAAGGTCTAAGGAAAACATGGGGAACAACTGCCGTCTCGCAAAATAAGGGAAGGAAAACTTAAACTTTCCGAGAAATCTATAAATGGAAACAAAAGTAGGGAAGAGGAAGAATTGGGACTTTTTGAGATCATAGCTCATTCAACTACGGGTTTCCTGTCTATTTACCTCTGTTTTGAGCTTTACCAGAAAAAAGTTAAACGCCCCTTAAACATTATGAGTTACTGGCTTGTGTGATTGTTTGTAGGTCGTGCGAAGCAACTTGGTTCTGACAGCCTTTTAAACAACCATGTTCATCTTCGCAGTAAATGGTTAGAATTAAATTTAAAAAAAGACAAAAGAAGAAGAAAAAAAAAAGAAATAACGAAACATAGGAATGGGGTTTCTGGAAACCCCGACAACTCTTGATATGGAGTGAAGATTAATATCAAGAGTTTTTTGTTTTAATTACACATTTAGGTATTACATAGCTGGCAAGCAGCTCTCGTTATTAGCACCGCAGGACGCCCTTTTCTCCGCCCGCGGGAAGATTGGAAGCGAGTCAGGGAGAGAGATTTGCCAGAAGTCTGGAACTACTCTGAGACCCATATTAGCTCAAGGCCTTGTAATTTCCCGCGGAGGATGAAGCGCTCGTGACGAAGCGAGGGCCTGCTGGCCGGCAAGGTATTACACAGTACAAAACACACAATTATTGCGACATTGATCAGTCCCATAAGCCTTGTTATTGAAACCTCTAACTTTCAGAAAAAGTAATACGCATTATTACTCTGTCTTTTTACTTTCCTGTTATTTTTTGAAGGCATCTGGAATCCAGAGCATTCTCACAAAGACATCTGGCAACCGCACAACTTAAAGGAAGGGTGAAGTCGAGGTCATGCATAAATTAAAGTGATCAGAAACATGAAGGGAAAGCTAAAACCAAAGACAACAAATGCGATTGTCTGCACACTGTTGAATGGAAGTATCAACCTTAAAATCCTCGCTAGTCAGATGCAAATGAAGTCGAGATAGATCACATTTTCTGACATGGAAGGCAAAAGAAACGCTTTCTCTAAGTTTTGGAGGAAACTAGCACTTGAAGAAATTCTGTAAATTTTCAATACTCTATACGTTGTTATTTGTTTGTTCTCACTTTCCTCTAGTTTTCCACTAGTCACTACTTTCCACGAGCTATTTCTTGAATCTTCGGTTAAGTTTGATTAGCCGCCGAAAGGCCTTCATAAAAATATGCGCACCAGGAGTTACAGTGGATCTCATTGCACTGCGTCAATCCTTCTAGTGTCGGATTATCGAAGTGCCCAGTGTCTGTTTAAAGTGAGGAAAGACGTTGAGCCTTCTATGAACCAGTAATTTCTGTAATGTCTTGCAATTAAACTCTTTCGTTATAATGGTTTTGTCTCTGTCCTCATTTTGAAAGGGAGGTTGAACTCGGCATTGACCTGCTATGATCCCAAATTTTAGTCGTTTTTGTCGTATGTTATATAGCGGTTAGTGTGTGGCTCCGCTTGAAAACGGCGCGTCCTACTTAAGTACGCCGGCATGATGCTTGAAATGTACTGAAAGTACCGAACTCAAAATGAAACTTAACCGACAGCAGGGGACCTCAAACATAAGATAAAGCTTCTGTTATCAACACCCGCCTGGCGATGAGCATGTTAATGAGAAATGGGCAGGCAAAACGTCTGGCCCCTAACTCTTTCGTCATAATGGTAATAATAAGGATTATTAAGTATAAACTAATTTTCGACTGACGTGAACGCAAACAAATTTTGGGAAAAGGCTCTTCTGCTTTTTTTGAACACCAGGCACAGAAGATGATTAAGGAAGCACGAAATTTGAAAGCTCTCGGATTGAATGGTCCGTTGGGCGCGTGCGATTATTTTCCACATGCTCTCCCGGAAAATTTGAGATCCTAGACTCGCAGACCAGAAGCAAAGTCCCTTCGAGGACAAGTTTAGAGTCATTCTTTTGTCATCAAATTTGCTACCAAGAAAACCACCGATTTGTGTTTTGGGCTAAAGATTGCGCGTCACTAGCCGCCCACTTTTTCATGTTAATGGTTCAAATTCCTGAAGTGTAGCGTTGGACGCGATGGCAGAGCTAAGCACATTGTTTTATAGTCGTGGAAAAGCTCTTGGAGAAGACTGAAGAAGAAAGATAATACAAGACATCATTGGTTAATGGGGAGACTTCACTACATAATACTTCGAAGGAAGTTTTATTACAATTGCCAGATAAATCAGGGTAAAACGGAAAAGTGACACGGGCGACCTTTTATTACAACTTGTCCCGCGACATTGTTGCAATGAAAGTTGACAAGCGTTGTTGCACGTATAACCACTGGCACGTGCAACTTGTCTCACACGACAAAGTTTGAAGTTGCGACTAGCAGATAATTAAAGAATCCTTCACTTATAATGGACGAACGAAATCGTAAGGTGTTCATGTGAGACCGGATTTCCAGGAGATGGGAGAGGGACATTTATCATCAACTTAGAAAGGAATTAGAATTCGGAGATATCGTCGCATATTAATAATTTTTCAGAATGACGAAAGAACAATTTTGTTCTTCTGTGGGTAAGGTATCGCCTCTGATTCAAAAGAAGAACATAGACCGTGGAGCAATGGTAATCCTATAGTCAACATAAAATTCTGACAGTACATCTGGCTTCAAAATTGGAACGATGGGCGTAGCCCAATCAAAGGTTTCGACTTTCTCTGGTACAACAATTCTTTCCAATCTTTTTAGTTCGTCTGTAACCTTTTCTTTTAAGGCAAATGGAACAGTTCTTGATTTGAAAAACTGTGGAGCAACGTTCTCTTTAAGTTTCAAATGAGCTGTCCCTCCTTTTATTGTGCCCAGACCTCTATCCCACAGGGCCGGGGATGCCTACTTTGAAACCACGTTTTCTACATTGGCACACGGTTCCACGCACTATGATTTTCTTTTTCAGCTCATTTCAAAAACTAAAATATGAAAGGCATTATTACGATTTTTGTGTTGTGGCTCACTTAAAAAAAAACTTCATTAAAGTAATTGCTAAGCCTCCTAGCAATCTATAAATGTTTTAATGATTGATTAATACTACGTTGCAATTCGGAAATTTCCTTAGTTCTTCTGAAATCTTCACTGAAGGTATCTTCTGAGGTCTTTTTCGTGATCTTCTAGGTTCCTCTTGCTGAGAAGCTAAAGAGAGAGAAAGAGGGAGAGATAAAAACTACTTGACGTTAATAAGTCGAGACTTTGTGGCTCTGTTCTCCTCAATGAGAGAAAAGAGTGGTGATGACGATGAGTTGAGAATAGATTTTGTGTATTGGTCAGGTTTTTTTTGTGGTGCAGTGAGAATATTACGACGAGACAGGGTAAGAGGACGGTTGAATTTTGCTTAGGTATACAAGTTGGGTCCGAGGAGGAGCACTAAAAAAGGGAAACAGATTTGGTCTTACACGTGAAAGTTACAAAGGTTAGCAGAGTAGACTCTAAGAGCTCGATATATGGCATGGTATTTGATTGGCCTCTTGAAGGTGACCATCAAGTTGTCTCTGTCCAGTTTAGGAATTAGAGAGTGATTGGAGAATTTGCGACTATGTTGTTGTCATCATAATTTCCTCTCTAACTGATAATAACCAGTGAGGTAATTGATGAATAATATGTTTTTATCACAGTCTAAAGACCAAGTCGTGTTTGTAAGTCATGTTTCCTTACCAACTGGAACTATGTAATGTATTCTCTCACTCTTATCATCTCCACCCTTACTTGCATCTTTATCTTCCTGTCTCTGAAAGACAAGAACACGAAAAGAAAAAAGGTAGGGAAAACCAAAATTAAATAGCTATCTATTTTAAAGGCTTAGCGTGCGTATATCGAATTATGGGTGCACGCAGGAAGTTTGGAGAGCACGAGAGAAGCGTAAGAGTTGTTCGAGGCGCAGCAAGGCAAACACAACCAAGAAATATTTCGAGACCAAATCTTTATTCAAAGAATTATAAATCTTCTGCTCAGAAGCAGAATACGAACAAATTTCTTGCATGTACGAGACCATGAAGTAGATTCAGCATGCTTGAATCGCTGTTTACTAGAATTCGCGAATTCAATACATAATTTAGAAAATTATGTATTAAACAATACTTTCAGGAAATATCAACACAAATTAATTTCAACCGTTCGAAAAACGAAGAAAAAACTTACAAATTTCTTTCATTCACAACACCCGTGTGGTACATTTACCCAGCTTGAACTGTTTATTAGAATTTACGTCCAGAGAATTGCATTGTGTTGAAAATTCTGAAAATTGTGCAATTTCAAAACAAAAGCTTCTATCGAACGACACATTTGGTACATATCAACACTTCAAAATAATATTTACCGGTCTAATGAAGAGTCCCCAACGTCGCAAGCCTCAGTTAAAGTCAGAAAACTAATTTTTTAATGGGGAAAAAACTACAGACGAGTCCGGGAAATGGTCGGACACCCCTGCGCTTTTCCATTTGTATTTAAAAATACAAACCCTAGCTCTTTAAGCGTGCTTCTGAACGTCGACATTCGCTGGTTTGCGCGAAGAAAAGAAATAACTTCTACAGCCCGCGCTTCATGTAACAAAGTTTCCCTTCCGTACTCCTATTAAAATTGTCTTTGTTCTGAGCGACATTTCTCTTACCCCACCCCGAGAATTGTGATATTGTCAACATCTGGTAGTCAACGAATATTTTGAATCTCGCGCTCGGAAATTGGAAAAGCGTCGGTTCTTTCAAACCTTTGTTCTAGAAACAATAGAGCCTCTAAGCTGTAAACAATTAAAATGCCCATAAAAGGAAGGTAATCCAGTGCCATTGTCTACCAAAAATTAAACAAAAAGTTTGATATGAGAATAGAATTTGGTAGATGGCATGCAGCTTTAGCTCAGCTCTATGTTTTTTATTCTGATAGGGTACGCTCTTTCGACCACTGACAGCGCGCGTTATATCGGAACTTTATTATAAAAGGATTTTTACCTTGGTAGCTCCTTAAGAAATTGGTAGGCCTCGCGCGTGCGCTAAGTTACGATACCTTTTCTTTTTTCGTTGATCTCATGCTTTTCATTCTGATATTTTTGAAACTGATGTATATTATTATCCTTAGTAAATTTCACTGACGGAATATCTGATTGTCTACAAAAAGGGGCTTACCTTAAAATCTGGCTCAAACCTCCATTTGAATGTGGGATCCCCGAGTTATCCTGATTTTGAAAACAAATAGATGTTTGAAATTAGAAGATCCTCGCAGCTAAGAACACTACTGAAACTAGTAATTCATTGACCAGCTCCCAGTTGGCTTGTTAGCTCAATTGGTAGAGCGCTGCACCGGTATCGCAGAGGTCATGGGTTCAAATCCCGTACGGGCCTGAAATTTTTTTCAGGTCCTACTTACAACTACTAGTTTCAGTAGTGTTCTTAGCTGCGAGGATCTTCTAATTTCATCTTTCCACCGCAGTGCAAATATGTGAATTTTCATATATCTAAATAGATGTTTATTCACTAGAAAACAGATTTTTTTTTCTACGTACGTTTTACATCTAGATTATCTGTTTTTTGACTCAGTTTGAGCTGAGGTGTACGTTAAAATTTTGATTGTTCATGCAAAGCGTAAAAATGAGCCTAAATTATTGAATTCTTGAAACCCTTAAAGTGCCCGTGACACGAAATTTTTTTTTTGCATAAATATATAGCTTATCATGTGTACAAACCAATTCCGACAGTAGAAAATTTCAAAAAAGCTTAAAACTCAGTTTTTTAGGGCCCTAAAGTGCTCTTATTTTGTCTTAAAAGTGTCTCGTGGACTGGTAACGAATTAGCGGGTGATGACGCAAAAACTGTGAAAACTCTTAGTTGACACTTACAAATCTCTCACAAATCTTGTAATTTTGTATCAGTCAGCGTTGAAATACTCTTGATATAATGTCCGATAGCGATGTATACCTACCTTCAGCAAGCTTTACCGAGAGTTGTGACACATCGTACTCAAGTAGTGGAGGAGAAATGGAAGTTGCGAGTATGGTTCAGCCCTACGAAGGAAAACCGCGTGCATCAAACGAAGATTTCGACGAACACTGACAAAGACGGTTTCTCGCCCGCGGTGTTTAGGTCAAGATTAGAACAAAAAAATTTCCGCTACTAAATGTTTAGTAGCGGAAAACCTAGCTCGAGAATACACGGCCCCCTAAGAGCTTGTGTTTATGCCAGAATCCGCCCCTGAGAGGTTTCGCACTATTCAAGCAAAAGGATATCGGTCAGCTCAGGAAAGGGCTTGAACTTCATTACAAACGATTTATTTCTGTTATTAAAATACGATGGAAACTACGATGGAAATAAATAACAGTGAACCCACCATTTTTCGCTTGTGAAATGTCAGCC